TGGCTTTGACAAAGGGGATTCTGTAATTAATTTGACAAACTTTTTCTCATCAATTTCTTTCCATGATCTGATTAATTTTTTCGTTCTCACAGGATCAGCTTTCATCACTGGCATAGTCGCATGAATCAAACCATGGTCCGAAAATACACCGTTTGGAAAAATCTTGCAAACCTGAACTGGAAATCCTGGTGAGCTTACAATTAAATCAAGAGTTCCCCCCAAATCATGCGTCGACCCATTAACATTATTTACCATTTGAAACATATCAAATACCTCTAGTAGCAAACTAATGGTGTGAGCATCATCAGTTCTTTCAACGTGTATATTAAAATCACCAGCTAACAAAATACGCGTAGTCAAAATTGAAACATGCTCCATCATGAAAACCAATTCCTGGAAAAATATCGTCTTTACCTGCTGTGAACCTGGTCTATATAGAGATACTAACACCCAATCTATACCATTAATAAAAAATTTGATAGCCAAAACCTCGAAAGTGGAAAAACATGGAAAGTCAATTTTCTTGTATTTGAAATTTGATCGAAAAAATATGATTAAACCACCATGATACGGATCGTATGGTCTCAGAAAATCCAAAAAATGATAACCAGATGGCATGGCCAATTTTATGGAAACATTATCTGAATAACCGTGCCATGTTTCAACAAGCACCAGAAAATCCAAGCTTTCGAGTAATATTTCACGTACTGCATCACTTTTTGATAAAAAAGATCTTATATTTAATAGTCTCAACAACATCTGCGACTTAATTCTTTTCAAACTATTTGCATAATCTTTACAATCATTACCTTAATCAATTTCGTCATTAGCGCCTCTGTTATTACCATTTTCATTTCCATCACTACTGCCATCATCGTTAACACCATAATCACCACTACTATTTCCACCATTATAATTATCATTACATTTGATTTTACCACTGAGTTTATTAACTATGATCCTTGATACGCCATCATTGATACCACAACCACGCTCATCACCATCATTGCTATCGCCAATGTTTTTACCATAATTTCCATCACTCCTATCATGGCCGTAACTACCATCATCACCTCTATCCTGACCATCATTGCAACCTAACATGCTACCAATATTATATATAACCAATACCAACATCACCATCACCACCATTACCACTGCCACCATCATTTACAATACCTCCATCACCACCATCCCCGCAATTTCTGCCACCATGTCCACCATCTCTGTCATTTCGGCCACCATTATCTCCATTCCGACTATTATTACAACTAAACATACCACCAATATTCCTCCTGTTTCTGCCACCACCACCTCCATCTCGACCCTCACCACAATAAAATATGGTACCGATATTACATCCATCATCACAAATACCATCATTGCCGCCATTTCCGATATCATTAACACCATCATCACCAATATTCTCGCTATTTCTGCCACCATCACCTCCACCACCAATCATGCTACCGATGTTACACCATCATCACCAACACCATCATCACCGTTATTTTTGTCGTTTGTGTAATCATTACGACCAACACCATCATAACTACCATTCCTGCCATTTCCATCACCTCCATCCCGACCATCTATACAACCAACTATGTCACCAGTTTCACAACCATCATCACCAACACCAGTTGTTATACTAGTTATTTTAAGACCCAACATGGATTTCATCATTTTCATAACAAATTTTAATATGAGCCTCACATCTTCAAATCCATTTACAATGTCCATCACACTGCACCATAGAAAGTCCAAGACATCCTTTTTTGTATTCTTATTATTCTTAAGTTTCCTGGTCCTCCCCTCACTCTGTATACAAAATCCTCCTTTTTAGCAGCTTCTTTCTCCTTAGCAATTTCTATCCATTTTTTATATTCTGCCCGTTGCTCCCTTGTCAAGTCATGACTGGATTCCTTTCAAATCTTCATCCAACTTTTTCAGATTAAACAAGTTTTTATTGATTAAATTTTTAAAGACTTTAGAGTTTAGTTGGACCAACAATGGTCTAATTTTATCCGATTTCTTGCCTAGCCTATAATGTTTTATTATACCTGATTTATCGATTTTATCATTGATTATTGTTTGCAAAATACGGGCAATTCTTTCAACATCTTGTCGTTTACCATCACTGAAACTCTGGTCATTACTTTCTTTTAATTTAAAAATTATTATGTTGCAAGATCTTTCTTCTGCCTCACTGAGGGATTTTATAGTATCTTTTATTACCAAAAGTTCATTCTTTAACGATTGTATGCCATCATTTATATTCACCATTTTATCATTAACATTAACAACGTTGTCAACAACAACATCTTTCAAAACATCAGAATATGACGTTTTCAAATCCTCTTGAAATGAATTCATTTTCCCACAAGATCATCATTATTTTTATCAACCATGCCCTTCAACGCATCAGCAAACGATTTACTAAGATTGACTTTTAAAGCATCAGAATATGACTTTCAAATCCACTTGAAGTGCTTTCATTTTATTAACAAGAATATCATTATTTTTAGCAACCATACCCTTCAACACTTCAGCAAATGACTTACTAAGATTATCTTGAAGTATACTCATTTTGCCATCAACATCACAATCAGTTGTTCTTTCATCAACCCTTGCCTTGATATCTTTAATCTGAGCGTTGATTGTGCTGTTGCAGTCCTGAATTTTCTTTATATTATCAGCTATATCACTCAATTTCTTACAGGATTTAACAGCCTCAACCTGATCCTGACAACTGTCACAACTCCACAGAAAACCAGAGGCATTCTGAAATTCTTTAAATGATGAATCAGAAATTCCTGCACACTTGCAGTGTGTAACTGAATCGCAAAAACTACAGTGTAAGATATCCTTAGGCAAAATTTTCCACTACAAAACAAACATTTACCAGACATTATTACGATAAATATTCAGTTTCAATTCGTAAAACTTTATTAATGCACGAGTTTTGAAAAAACTTTTTTTTAATTAGTATACAACGAAACGTTTTTAAACCTCGTAAGTCTGAATTATTGTCTTGTAGTCTGTCTGTAGCAATATTAATAGTACTTGAGCAATTAATAAATGATGCCTCACAGACCATTGAAACAAGATTTGAGTAAAAAACCTTACATCAAAGAATTTTTTCCTTCGATTTTTTTACTTTGAAAGGTTTCTGGTATCGAGTTTTGAAATCAAAAAAGGCTACGTGATCCTAAAATAAATTTTTATGACGCATCCAAGGATATTGATGCCCTTAAAAACCTTATTGACAATGATCTGATTGTCAATGAATGTATTGAATTTGGAACAATACGACGTGGAAATTGAAAGACGAAAGTGAAGAAACATGAAGAGACCTGGGCCTGAATGCCGAAGAAGAACTACGAAGAAAGAATTATGAAAAGTGCTGTGGACAGAATAAATTCAGAGATTAGTGACAGGTTCGCTCGACTAAATAAAGCTGATAAAAAATTCGGGTTCATTCTAGATTTGAAAAATTTATTATATAATAACATGAAAATACAATGTTTACATTTAGCGGAGTTCTACAATTCAGATAATATTGATGGTACTGAATTATATCTCAAAATATCTGATTGCAGAATGCTAATATCCACACGTGAAACAAAAATTTTAACATTAGAAGATCTTTTTAAATTTATAATAGAATACGGAGATCAAAGCGTTTTTTCTAATTTACAAGTTGCTCTTCAAATTTTACTAACTATAAGTGTGTCCATTGCTACTTGTGAGCAATAATTCAGTATGTTAAAATTAATACTATAAGTAATTACTTAAGAGCTACAATGAGTTAGTTAACAGCGATTGTGCAAAATTTTTGTAAAATTATTTTAAAACAAAAATGTTGACAAATCTCTTACAAAAATCCAAATTTTGAAACATAGAAAACATAAAAACATTTTATAAATCAAAAACATATAAATGTAAAAAAGAATAACATTGCAATAATGACTTCACTTATATGCGCGACGTATTTACTTGGGCACTCAAACTAACTTATATGCGCGACGTATTTACTTGGGCACTCAAACTGGAAAAATTGTTTTGTTTATTAAAATTTGATACACAACTAACCTCTAAGTGGAATCCGCAAAAACGTTTAAAATTGACAAGGTAACCGGCAGAGTAGAAAAGTCGATAAATAAAAATAGGATTAAATAGAAGCGACCCATTTTCGTTCTCACGACACTGTCTAGTCAAAAAGCGCAATCATAATAAATCACAATTGTTAACAAAATGAGTCAATACCAAATACTATCTTTGAAAATTCGATGTAGAAAACTGTAGTATGGAAATAGACGTTTTTGTATAAGGGTGCCAAAAAATATGATTTTTCAATCTCAGGGGTGCAAATTATGAATGCTCCAATGCGAATTTTATAGCCCTTAAGAAATTTCTCCAAATGCGTTAATCACCGTTGAAATTAACAAAACCGTTGCACATGTCGACATTCATTTTGACCCAACTTATTTTCATAAAGTTCTAATTTGATTGCAGTTTGGGGGCATGCAGTGCTGATGAATGATTGCGGCATTCCGTGATTTGTGGAATCAGCAATATTTTATTTCTTTTTTTGTTAAGGTTAACCATATTGATGTTGGTCACCTTGCTTATGAAGCCACTTATTTCAAAACTTATTTTCAAATTATTCAACGACTTTTTGCTGCCAACTTAATTATTTTCTCCTCCTCTCTTTCTTAATCTACAGAAAATCGTTTACATTGTAAATTTATAGCATGCTTTATTTCATAGTGAATGTTTAGTGAATTCTTATTCGTACATACATCTACACTAAATGCGTTTTTGTATGCATTTTTTGTATGTTGAATATCTTCCTAATGCATGTATGTGTGTGTTTGGTGAATTTTTACATATATGTTTATAATAGTATTAATGCATGCAAAAGTTGCGTACATTTTTACACAGGATATTGAATATACAAAGAAGCTTACCTATGTAATGCATGTCTATAAGCGCATATATATATATATATATATATATATATATATATATATATATATATATATATATTTTCTTAAGTAGTAAATAGCGTTGTAGAGTCGTTGAGATCCACATTAATGAGGAAATATTAAACTCGCATCACAAGAAGTCAACGACCTGTAAAAATGAAACCCGACACAGGTGATAAGATAAGTAATATTTCAAGTGATAGTTCAGTTAACGATGGATATAATTTAAATTTTAAGATTTTTGTGTCAGGTCAAACGGAAATTGATAAGAAACGGCGCACAGATGGTGGTGGTTTAAATATAATTGATCATTCTCAATCTAACGGCAAATATGTAGAAAATGTTAACAAGTGTTGTCCTGCATACGAAAAAAACAACATTGAAAATGAAAACGAACATCTGAAGGAACACTGGGAAGTTGATAACAGCCATCAAAACAATTGCTCAAGTTATTCAGAATTCAAGAAAGTTCAGATGAAAGATCGAGAAGATTATCAAGATCGTGAACATCTTAAAAAGGCGGTTGTTGCTGATGGAAAGACACTCGTTGAAACGGAGATACCAGATGAAAAATCGAAAACTAGCAAACACTATTCGCCGAAGGAGACGTGGGCCCGCCACATGGAGTTCATGCTGTCCTGCATTGGTTACGCTGTTGGCTTCGGTGCTTTTTGGAGGTTTCCATACCTGTGCATGCGAAATGGAGGAGGTGAGTTTTGCTATTTGGTAATATAATATATAATAATAATATATATATATACCTCAATAATAGTATATGTGTTGTATATTGTTATATTTTGCTATATATATATTAACATTTATATATATATATATATATATATATAAAATTATATTTTGTTACATATAATATCAAAATGTTATATGTTGTTATATATAACTATTTTTATATTATACAAGTATACATTGTATATTCGTTTAATGTACATTGTGGATAAACTGTTGACTTTTGACAATCATTTCTTTAATTTATTGTTACTGGGTTTTGAGAGTGCCTGTGAGATTTCATTTAATAGGCGCTATACAAATGCATTTAATAATAATAATAATGATAACTGTAGTAACGGTGAAATTTGTATCTAATAATAAAACTGATGGTAACTATTTGCACTGTTTATTTATTTTTACTGTCTTTCAAATCAAATTTTTGAAAAAGTTAACTTTTGTATTGCTATGAGTATTATCAAACATTTCTATTGTTGTTTTGTTTTGTGGAAACTAACTAACTAATGAATGAGCAGTTGATGAATTTCAATTGAGTGGCAGTACAGTGAATGTTGATTAACACGCACCAGTGTGCCGAACCAGGTGTACATACATCAGTGCCTCGGATTCATTAATGAAACTTTAATTAACTCTAATTTATCTTCTTTCAACTGATCGCATGTAATTATGCATGCGCTTAATCAGGCAAAATAAATACTTCCAAAGTAATTTAAAATTCACAGAATTGAAATTATTCAAGATAATTCATATAATTGAAAACATTAAATCTTCATAACTCCACGCTTTTTTTCGAAAATTCTACTACAAAATTATAATCACTCAGGTGCATTTCTCATTCCATACTTTTTATGTCTGATCTTTTGTGGCATGCCCTTGTTCTTCTTAGAAATGGTCATCGGTCAGTTTTCAGGATTGGGAGCTATTGGCGTCTGGAACGTCTGCCCACTTTTTAAAGGTTTGTTTCGTGTTGACATGCATTATTTGCTTATAACCGTTAAAACAATTTTATTTAGTTTGCTTATATATATTTTTTATATTGTTACACTAGCTCGTGTTTTTTAATTCCAGTACTTCAGTTAAAAAAAATATATAACTGTTGTTTTAGGTTCGTAATAATATTTTTGGATATTCTCGTAGCAAAGAAATTCAAAGAGATTTAGCTCAAACCCATCTTTATGTCTGCGTGTGTGTGTGTGTGTGTGAAGTGTCGAATGCTTTAGTTATTAACATTTATTTTATTTTTTGAGTATATATGTGTTCAGCAATTAAGAACTTGCTGCCTCGCACTGACATGACATTCTTAGAATCCACATTATATAATAAGGAATTGTTTAGGGGCTAAAATATTTATACCATTCAGTTATTTCAAAAAAGTTTAAGAGATTAAACTTGTAAATTTTATTTTTGTTGTTGAATAAACCAACGCCGTTCAAAGTGTAGGCTATGAATAGTGACCTTAATTTCGCGCGTATTCAGTTTGTATGTGTGTCTGCGTGTTTATAACGGCAGAAAATCTTTTTATCGGCTTTCATATACATATATATATGAACTGTGAACACACAGTGAACTGTGAACCACATTGTTTATTTCAATGATTATTTTTAAGTTGTAATTAAGGCAACATTGGAAAGACCTTATGAAACATTTATGGAACAATTAATTTAATTCATAATACTATTGTTATCTGCTCTATGAGTTAGGGCCAAACATAGAAAGTATGTGAAGAATGTGAAGGCGATACCTGGTATGCTGCAGCATAGTATGGTTGTGATGGATGTGACATCAAAAGAAAGAAGAGGGAGGAGGAAGAAGGATAAGTTTGTGGCAAAGAGAAAGACATGGAAGTTGCAGGATGCAGAGATGAGGAAGGCATTTGAAGTGAAGGTGGCTGAAAATTGGGTAAGGATGGAGATGTTTGGGAGAGATACAGGGACTGTTTGTTGGCTACGGCAGATAAAGTATGTGGATAGACGAAAGGAAAGTGTAGGCATGGTGAGACATGGTGGTGGGATGAAGATGTAAGAAGGGTTTTGGAGGTCAAGAAGGAGAGGTTTAGGGTATGGAGAAGGGACATGACAGAGGAAGCGGAGTCTGAGTATAGGAAGGCTAAGAAGGTTGCAAAACAGGCAGTGGCAACTGCAATAACGAAAGCATCAGATAGGTTAATGAAGGAAATGGAATTTGATGTGAGTTCGAGGAAAATGTTCAAAGTAGCAAAGCAGTCAATGAGGGATAGGAAAGATGTTATAGGGAATGGATGTGTTTGGGATGGATCTGGTAAGTTGTGCATAGAGGAGGAGGAAAAAGCTCAGGTGTGGAAAGCTCATATAGAAAGGTTGATGAATGAAGAGAATGAGTGGGATGGAGATGTGGAATCCGCGGTCACACATGGACCTATAGAGAAGGTGACGATGGAGGAAGTAGAGAAAGCAGTTAGAGAAATGAAACTAGGTAAGGCAACAGGGGTTTCGGAAGTGACGGCAGAACATATAAAAGCGAGTGGGGTGATAGGAATTGAAGTTATGATGAGAATTGCTAACAGTATGTTTGATGATGAAGGTATACCTGAGAATTGGCGACACAGTGTGTTGGTGCCGTTGTATAAGGGCAAAGGAGATGTTAGAGATTGTGGGTCATATAGGGGTGTGAAATTGCCAGAGCACGGAATGAAGGTAGTGGAGAGGGTGCTTGAGAGGAGGTTGAGAAATATGGTGACAGTTAATGAAATGCAGTGTGGGTTTATGCCTAGTAGGGGAACGGTGGATGCGTTGTTCATGGTGAGAATGTTGCAGGAGAATTATAGAAAGAAGAAACGAAGATTGAACATGTGTTTTGTGGATCTAGAAAAGGCTTTTGATCGAGTACCAAGGAAGGTCATTGAATGGGCGTTGAGGAAGAAAGGAGTGAATGAGAGACTTGTTTAAGTTGTGATTCAGCTGTATGAAGGGGCAAAGACAAAGGTGAGGGTTGGAAGGGGGATGTCGGACGCTTTTATTGTTAAGGTAGGAGTGCATCAAGGATCAGTGTTATCACCGTTGCTGTTTGCAATTGTGATGGATGTTGTGTGTGGGACACATAATGGAGGGGTTGTTATTTGAGATTTTGTATGCAGATGATTTAGTCTTGATAGCTGATAGCATGGAAGAATTGCAGTTAAAATTTGACAGATGGAGAAGTGTTATTGAAAAGAAAGGGTTAAAAGTTGATATTGGTAAGACGAAGGTAATGGTGAGTGGGGAAGGTGGGGAGCGAGTGATAAGTAAAATAGATCCCTGTGGGGTATGTGACAGGAGAGTGAAGGCTAACTCGGTATTGTGCATAGGATGTCAGAAATGGGTGCATAAGAGATGTAGTGGTGTGAGGGGGCCACTGAAAAAGGTGGAAGGCACGTTCAAATGTAAGGAATGTGTTCCTGGTGTGATTAATGGGACGGACGCAAGGACGGGGTTGAGTGGTGGTATTGAAAGAGTGGAAATCTTTGTTTACTTAGGGGATAAGCTGAACGCGGATGGAGGATGTTTGAGCGCAGTTACGGCTAGAGTTTGTGTGGGATGGATGAAATTTAGGGAACTGGGTGGGGTATTGTGTGGAAAGAAATGATTAGTGAAGATGAAAGGGAGGGTATATAAAGCATGTGTAAGAGCAGCGATGGTATATGGTGGTGAAACTTGGGTGTTGAGGAGAGAGGAGGAAAGTGTACTGCAGAGGGCTGAAAGAGCTATTGTGAGGATGATGTGTGGGGTTAAAGTGAAGGATAGGAGGAGTAGTACAGAGCTGATGTCAATGATGGGACTGAATGAGGACATTGTGACATTGATAAGGAGATCGAGATTGCGGTGTTATGGACATGTGTTGAGTAGGGATGAAAGGGTCGGGATTAGGCGAGCGTTGGAGTTCGAGGTTGAAAGAGTGGTAGGAAGGGGTCGTCTGCGATTGGGATGAAGAGAGCAGGTGGAGAAGGACAGGGTGAAAGCGGGGTTGCGTGATACTGAGGCGTGTGACAGATGTTGATGGCGTCGTGGGGCATTTCGGTTTCATCATAGGTAGCCAAACGGCAACCCCCGATCTCGGGGAAAATGTCGTCTAAACGTGTGTTGTTGTTGTCTATGAGTTATCGTGTTGGTTTAGATGATATAAAGGACGAATGCCGGCAGCACCGCCTGCGGTGGTTTGGTCATGTCAAACGAAGTGGAAACAGTGCCATAACTTTTCTTGCAGATGTTGAAGTACCTGGCACACGTCCCAAAGGCCATCCAAAGAAGTTCTGGTCGCAAACAATCGAGCAAGACATGAAAGCTCCAAATTTAAATGAAATGGATACAACTGATCGTCTAATTTGGCGCAAAAAGTTTATGGCAAAGAAAACAACGTCCTACCTCGGGAAACCGGGTCTCTGGACGCAAAACGAAGATTGATTGATTGATCTATGAGTTAACATGGATGAAGTTATCGAAGTTTTAAAACGGCGTTCTGATGCACAAAACACATTTTGCTTGCATGGCATTTGATGGGTGATATTTATTTTTTTGAAATATTATCGTGAACATTTTATTCACGATGTAAACAAATTAAAAAAATATTCGCAAAAGTTATTTTTATAAATATTTTCAACGCACTTTTGTTATAGTGTTTAATAATATATAATTCACTAACTGAAAGATATGAACCGCAGACTCTAAAACATTCGAATGTTTGTAGTTTCATCCCTCAAACATTTCAATGTGTGAAGTTTCATTTCACAAACACGAATGTTTGTATTTTCATCTCACGACCGTCAAATGCAGGGGTCGGTTGGGCCATGCTAGTGATGTCGGGCCTGGTAACCATTTACAGCAACATGATTCTTGGTTGGGTCCTCTACTTTCTTGGTCTCTCTTTCACTTCCTCTCTGCCATGGGCAACATGCAACCAAACTTGGAACACACCTCTCTGCGTTGAATGGAAGTTAGTTAGAGTGATGTTGTTATGTTTCTTGCTTAAATACTAACATTTTAATTTTTTTAGAATAAACAATATATCGTTAATTTTGATAAATTATTTTTGTTTGTTGAAAACTAAAAATAACAAAGGAAACGGTTTTTTTTCTAACGTTTCTTTACAAAATAAAATTATTTATGGACTCGTTTACATTTGTCGACATTAATAGTATCGTTGCAAGAAGAGGACAATGATTTTAAATACTTGATAGGCAATATTTCTAACAAACACGTCATACATACTGTTGAGTTTGTTTGTTTTTTTTTATTTTCTTCTCCTTTTCTCAAAAATATTCTATGTTATTTAGATCGTTTTCTTATTTTATTGAATGGTAACGTTTAATTAGGATGCGAGCATTTGTTAATGTACTATATTGAAATCTTACAATAACTTATTAGAAAAGGTAATTTAAAGGCGTGATTGAATCGTCACCGAAAAAGCGTTTCAGAAGTAAATTGATTGTTTGCTCAACTGATTGATTGGTTGTTTGTTTGATTATATATATATTTTAAGCATGATAGAGTATTCAAATATGATAGAACAGAAGAGCTTTTTTCGGTATTCCCTACACCATTTTTGGTGTTCGAATTGATACGTTGTGTATGTGACCAAATGCTCAAGTACTATGTCTCTACAATGTTAATTCTTTGTTTAATTTGATTACTTAACAGCCATTTAATTAATTATTACAATCTTCAACTTTGTGCAATATGACACTTTTACGTGTCATCATTATTGATGATTCTTCTGTTTCTAAATTTTCTAGTTAGAAGGATTCCAATTGCTCGTTGTTGAATATTTGTTCTATGTGTATTGATTTGCCCAGTCGTAAATTATAATGATTGTTATTGTAATGTAAGATTTCAACATTGTTGTTCAAGATTTGCCTAGTAATTTTAGTTTCGCGTTTTTCTTTCATTTGATTCTTTATAGCGCCAGTTTGTACGTGCATCGTGAGTCTTCTTGACTGCTTGGTCGTTGTCATACCAATATATTCGGAATTATGGTGCCTACTCTCACCAATATTACATTTGAACGAATATATTAGATGTCTATGTGAACCATTATGTAAGCCAGAACCATAATCACAGCATGTTCCGCGTTAGTTAGCTTTCTATTTAGTTTTTCCATTTTTTTAAAAGTAGATTGTAAATCATTGTCAAGTTCAATTTTGGTTTTGAACTCAAGAGACCATCTTCGTTGGTTTCCTTTATTTATATAGGGAATTATTTACTTTGTGAAAATGAACTTAGATGGAAATTACATGTACAATCTTCGTTTCTTCTTTCTATAATTCTCCTGCAACATTCTCACTATGAAAAAAGCATCCACCGTTCCCCTACTAGGCATAAACCCACACTGCATTTCATTAACTGCCACCATATTTCTCAACCTTCTCTCAAGCACCCTCTCCACTACCTTCATTTCATGCTCTAGCAATTTCACACCCCTATATGACCCACAATCTCTCACATCTTCTTTGCCCTTATACAACGGCACCAAGACACTGTGTCGCTAATTCTCAGATATGCCTTCATCATCAAACATACTGTTAGCAATTCTCATCATAACTTCAATTCTTATCACCTCACTCGCCATTATATGTTCCGCCGTCACTTCCGAAACCCCTGTCGCCTTACCTAGTTTTATTTCTCTAACTGCTTTCTCTACTTCTTCCAACGTCACCTTCTCTATGCGTCCGTGTGTGATCGCGGATTCCACATCTCCATCCCACTCATTTTTTTCATTCATCAACCTTTCCATATGAGCTTTCCACACCTGAGCTTTTTCCTCCTCATCTATGCACAACTTGCCAGATCCATCCCAAACATATCCATTTCCTATAACATCTTTCGTATTCCTCATTGACTGCTTTGCTACTTAGAACATTTTCCTCGAACTCACATCAAATTCCATTTCCCTCATTAACCTATCTGATGCTTTCGTCATTGCAGTTGCCACTGCCCGTTTTGCAATCTTCTTAGCCTTCCTATACTCAAACTCCGCTTCCCCCGTCATGTACTTTCTCCACCCCCTAAACCTCTCCTTCTTGATCTCCAAAACCTTTCTTTTATCTTCATCCCACCACCACGTCTCACCATGCCTACACTTTCTTTTCGTCCGCCCACATACTTTATTTGCCGTAGTCAACACACAGTCCCTATATCTCTCCCAAACATCTCCATCCTTACCACTCTCCCAATTTTCAGCCACCTTCACTTCAAATGCCTTCCTCACCTCTGCATCCTGTAACTTCTATGTCTTTCTCTTTGCCTCAAACTTATCATTCTTCCTTCTCCCAATTTCTTTTGATGCCACATCCATCACAACCATACTATGCTGCAACATACCAGGTATCGCCTTCACATTCCTTACATACTTTCTATGCTTCGCCCTTATTACTATATAATCTATCATTGATCTATGCTCCCCTGACCTATATGTAATTAATCGTGCTGGTTCCCTTGTAAACCAGGTATTCCCTACCACCATGCTATGTGCATCCGCCAACTCCAACGCTCTATGCCCTTCCTCATTCCGTATACCATATCCCCACCCCCCATGTACACTTTCATATCCCTCTGCATCCGCCCCCACATGACCATTCAAATCACCCAACAACACCACAAACTCATCCAAACCCGCTTGCCCAATCTCGTCAGAAACATCATCATAAAACCTATCCTTCTCCTCTTCCTTTCTACTTTGTTGTGGAGCATATCCTGATATTACCCTCACTATTACCTTTTCAAAAACCGTCACCATCACAATTACACCATTGCTTTTCTGCCTCACTTCCAACACCTTCTCCACCAACTCTTCTCTTACCATCACACCAACTTCTTCCGTACCATCATCCCCCTTCTACCACAACTTATATCTTCCACCTTTAGCCCCCACAAATTTTGTACCCTCTCTCTTCCATCTGATCTCTTGTAATGCAGCCACGTAATGCAGCCATTACTGTTGGACTCTGACTCTGTTGGATACTCGCTTTATTGAGTTTTTTAATAATTTCACAATTTTCGTCTCATTCAGCTTTTTATTTTTTTGTTTCATAATTTGTTATTAAAGTACAAGTAACAGAGATGATGATGCTCCATTTATTTTTAAAATTTTTCCTTCACTTATAAATAATTCCATATCGTTCTTATTAAACTATTTAAGTTGAATGCTTTCAAATGTAAAAGAAACTGTTTCACTTTTTTTAAAAACTCAAGATTGTTACCATCGTGATATGTGCTTTTTTATATGTTGTTTAGAAAATTATTTATTTGTCCGAAACTTTTCATTACGGAAGTTTAGAGGTTGACGTTGTAAGATTGTGGCAAGGGTTGTTCAATATTTCGTCCGGCGTATTAAAAATTTCTAGACGTTCGAACTGGAAATGTCTTTAAGGAGTGAGTGGAATACTTGTGCAGTATTTTATCAGACTGCTTTCATTCCCTATGATGGAAGCCTTCTGGAGTTATAAATCCTGTGGATTGAAAAATTAAATAACTACAGCTGCTTCATTAGCGCATGTTTTAAAGCGAATTGACCGATCATGTTATTCCTTATTGGGAACGTTTAAAATTTATTTTTTAATTTCATTTCTATAAAGATTTAATAGGACGGCAACACAAAATAGTAACCAATAGTAAGAAACAAAAAAAGTTACATCAATATTTCTCATTGATGATTACGAAGAATTATTAAAATAAAAACAATTTTATTTACACAAATCATAATTAAGATTTGATTGATTGATTTCACAGCAGCAGTGGTATGGATCCAAATGTTACCGCGACATTCCGAAACACGTCTGCAACATTCAGCAACGTATCAGCTCCACAGGCCAGGCATGGTGTCACACCCGCCGAAGAATTCTGGCAGTACGTATATATGGGGGATGGTGAGAATTAATTGTAATGGTGATGATGACAATGGTGTTAACGAGATTTTTGATAACTGAATTTTAAAAAAGCAGAACTGTCAAATCGGTCGTGTCTTGCAACATTTTTTTTACGTTGAATTATTCCGGTCATCATCGTTTGAAATCATGATTATGCTGAATGTTGTTGCCGAAACACGATTGTCTTCTTATTTTCTCTTTTTCTTAACTCACGTTAAACACTTTTATGCTAAATCTGCGCCGACCCTTTGCTCTGAAAGTTTCTTCTTCCTTCTCCATCTTCTACTTCTCCATCACTTGCTTAGTTCAGAGCGGGTCGCAAGATCCATCTGTAAAACTCACTGAAGAGAGCTGTTGAACATAGCGAAAGTATCACTTCACAAGATATAAGAAAATATCACTTCGATTGATTGATCGATCGATCGATCGATTGATTGATTGGTTGGTTGGTTGGTTGGCTGGTTGATGGATTGATTGACCGACCGACCGACGACCGATTGATTGACTGATTGATTGATTGACTGATTGATTGATTGATTGATTGATTGATTGATTGATTGATTGATTGATTGATTGATTGATTGATTGATTGATTGATTGATTGATTGATTGATTGATTGATTGATTGATTGATTGATTGATTGATTGATTGATTGATTGATTGATTGATTGATTGATTGATTGATTGATTGATTGATTGATTGATTGATTGATTGATTGATTTAAACATATATTTAAATAACTTTAGCTTGATAAGTTTTTTATAAAAAAAGATTTTTGGTGAGATTTTTATAAAAAATTAATTGCTAAATTCATTTTCCTATATTATTATTTAGCAACAGTGTACTAAAGATATCAGGCGGCATTGAGCGTTTTGGAGAATTCAGATGGCCTCTCGTCTGCTGCCTGTTCGCTGCTTGGGTCGTCGTCTTCCTCTGCCTCTTCAAAGGAATCAAATGGTCTGGAAAGGTTTGAGTTCATTTTGCTCTACTCATTACAGATGTTCATTTCAATTTAGTTTACTCAATATTTAATTTATTTATGTTGATTATCTTGTTTAACTCATCTTCTATATTTTCATAAAGTTCTATGTTGTTAGATAATTTCAAATGTTTCTCATATAAAAACTCTGACTTCTGTCAGACTATTTGTTTTTACTTCAAATTAATAACTCAATTAAAACCAGTAAAATTGTTTTTGTTTATAAATTAGAATTCGATTTCCTGAAAAATTTCAGTCGTTTGATTTCAATTAAAGCAGTTTGCGTGCATACAATATTTTTTAGCGAACCTGACTGATTAATCTTAACTACCGTGCTCACTCAATTTTCAATGTGATATTTATGTTAATTAATTTAAAATCTTTCTGTTTTTAATTCAAAGGCTTCAAAATTAAATATCTCTAAGGTCGTACGGACGAACGTTCACTAAACAATTACTTTTTAACAGCCTTTTCATTGACGACCTCTGTTATCAAACGTTGTTGAAATTATGTAAATGTCGCATTTAATTGCTTCATTGCTGCTCTTCAAATTTTCAAGTGTCATCCGCCGGCTGACTATTTTTATACCTACTAAATATTTTTATATCTTCTAAACGTTTTTATATCTGCTGAATATTTTTATATCTGTTGGTTATTTCCAAACTATCAAATTAGTTGATGATTGTTGTTTGGTGAAGAGAACCCAGAACCCATCTAGAAAATGTGTCAACCATTAATATTGTTATAACCGCGGGAATGATCGAATTGCGCTATATAATTTATTGTTTGATTGTTGTTATCTTTGTTGTATTTGTAATCTTTAGAAAGATTGTAAAATGGTTTCTATGCTAAAAATTACAAGCAGTGGAGGTTACGAGCGAAGATGAAGCGAAGTCGCAAATGTGATTTATGTAGTTTGTTTGGATTGGTTTATTGTTTCTATTACTGTTGGTATTCAAATAACCGTTCAACAAAGTTTGCGCTTGAAGTCAGTTGTGTTCATCTATCGGAAATCTTGAACCAACTGATATACGAACACTTGACGATCGTGGGAAGCTACAACACTGGTGTTGGAAATATAGAAACCGTTGAAGTTATAACATCGGCGTTGGTAGTTAAGATAGTCAAGGGTCGCAATAATATTAACTCTAATATCGCAATTTTCACGTGAAGCGAATAATTGAAAATAAATTCACAGTTTTCTAAATAAGATTTTTCATGCAATTTTAGAAATAAAAAAATCTTGTTGTAAACTCTAAAAGTTCGTTGCACAACCACTTTTAAAAGTATTTTTGAAAGATATGGCTTAATTTTAATAATTTATTCTGAATATCTGAGTTTTTGAAAATGGTTTTTGTTTCAGTTTTATTGATGCGCGTATTATTTGCGAGTGTTGTTAGGTGACCATTGAAACATATGGAATCTTCCGACAGTTTAGTCATCCTACTACCAGTTGGGCGGATTTGAAATGTTTCTTGATCACCAAAATTTTAAAATGATTTCAAGTTTAAATTATTTAAGTTCTAAAGAGTTTGACATCCAAAATGTTTTTTATTCAAAAACAAAATTATATTCCAATGTTTTTAGGCTGAAAAGTATATTTGATGATTTGGTGATTTTTTTTAATTCTTCAAAAAGTTTTAAATTTGAAAAAAGAATAAAAGCATAATTTTATCATCATCTGGTCCGTTTCTCCCATTACATAACTTTTTGTTTTGTTAAAACCGTTATTGAAGATCATGGCATTATTATTAAAATTTACTCAGTAAAATGTAACAACGACGTCATGTTGAGTGGCAAGTGATTGATGATCAGCTGAGATAGTTGTCTTTGTTCGTAAGAAACTAGGTTAGCAAATAATTAAAACCTGGCAAAGTTGTTTCAATACTGAATGAAAATTTGTTTGAATAACACCTATGAAACTTGCTTTGACGTGAGATAAAGTAGTTTAAATGTTTCAATTAAATTGGCATTCAATTTTAAGGAATATTTTGAATATTATTTTATAGTTGTAATGTAAGGAATTATGATGCACTTTTAAATGTTGAAAGGTTTTTGAGATTTCAATCCTTGATTTGATGCTTGTTGGATCGTTATTCTCATTAAAATTACTATTTTTAGAGAGTATGGTTAGAAGATTTTTAATTCGTTATTGTTGCGGTTGTTAAACGGAAAGTAACACATGTTTTTAAAATGATCACGAATTTGTTCATTGATCTGTGAGCAACATTTTTTTTAATTGCAATATTTTAATCAACGTTTTTTTGTGGTTCAATCGATTCATCTATTTCGTAAATAGGTCATAGAGAGTTGCTACTATTTTTATTGATGGGCTGAAAATTTGAGCAAACAAACCACGGGTGAACATACGCGAACACGTGTAGAGCATGGACATTTTTTAATTCATCATTCCTTCCAACGATGCATATTTTCGGAAATTTTAATGAATGAAGACAACAACTGATGTGAGGTAGGTAATCTCAGGGAATTTTTTTATGGTCCGACAATAATTTTTGTGTATATTTTTATCATGAGTTCAACCAGTCCTGTGTGGCACTGGGCTTTTTCGAATTATATGATTTTACTGAGTAACACACGAACGCGTAAAGAAAAATATTCGATAACAATTTTATTAATCGACGGAAGTAAATAAAAAGGAATTGAACTAATGAACTCTACAATAATGTAAAATGTCAATGAACAAACTGGAATACAGGAATTAGAACTTCTTCTTGTTGGGTCTTCGACTTGGGATATGTTTGTTGCCGTTTAACCGTACAACCTCGACGTGTGTGACCGATGGTGGTGTCGATACAACTCCAAGAAATAAATAAAATGAACGCGAAAAAAATTACAAAAATCGGAGCCTATGGAAATTGCAAGCTGCGTGTGAAACTATACCAATGAGTATAGAATCCAGCAAAGAACCTTAGGTCGACAAATAGCACAAGAAAGAAAAGAAGGAGGCGGATTGGTTTTCACAGAATCCAAGGCCTGTTTTCACTGGGCCTGTCTGTCAGTCGGTCAGTCGGCTTTCGCACAACCCTGGCCTCTTTTCACTGGGCCGTCAAGTCTGATCGGCTTTCGCACGACCTACACAAAACAACAAGAGTCAGAACAACACTGGAAACAAATTGTGTGACTTCAGTACGCGTGCGAAACTTTGCCAATGAGCATAGAGTCTCGTACCAAATCCACTTTTGAGAACTTAAGAAGTTTCTGAAACTATGCCAATGAGCATAGAATCACGCATTAAGTCTCTTAGATACCAGAATAGGCACTGATTACTCGAAGCTGCCTAACTGGTGAACCCGAGGCTGACTCTTTTTGAGAACTTAAGACGTTTCTGAAACTATGCCAATGAGCATAGAATCACGCATTAAGTCTCTTAGGGACCAGATTAGGCACCGATTATTCGAAGCTGCCTAACCAGTCAACCCAGTCTACAGTTCACTTCCACACCCTTCCTTATCAAAGCAAAATTAGATTTTGTTTCGGGTGTTTTAAAACATAAAAATTTCCAAGGTATGTCCAATTAATAAAAAAAACTACTAATTAAATTTTAAAATAATTTGTAATAATTTATGACGTCATCTAAATTGCAAAAGAAAAAAAATCGTCGTCACCTATCGAGTAAATTAACTTGCAACATGCCCCCTATCGAGTGAATAAATTTTGCGTTGAAAATTTTGCAGTATTTTTAGTCAGTATTATTTCATAATTCTGACAATACATAATATACAGGCAGTATGCAAAATATTTTACTAGTAAATGTACAACACACTTTATCATAAATCTAGAATATTAAATACTTTTGAATCATCAAATCATGAATTCATAACTTAATAATTCTTTAAAAAAGCACTAAGCCTCCTCCTTATTTATGCACAGCTGTCATTTGTGAATGATTTACATATCTCCTAACAAAGGCGTTTGTGTTTTTCGATACTGCAAATATTTTTTGCTTTTAATGTTGTTTCGTTATACAACGTTATAGTACACGTACAAAAATATAGGTACGCATGTTCATGCATCATTTTTTAAGATTATCGAATGTGGAAATCATGGCGTAATTAGATTGGAAGCTGGAGTATACCAACCTCCAGTTATATTTGAATGATTTGTGGCCATGATGATGTTGGTTGTTGTTGTATGCGAATGATGAGATTTTGTGCGAATTCAACTGAGTTTTATGCGTTAAATTGAACGATTGTATGCTCACCACACCATGGACGTTCACACGGTGATGAGGATAATTGTTCAACATTATACATAGATACATGCATACATACATGCACACATCCATACATACATGCATGCATGTATGTATACATACATGCATGTATGCATGCATATATGTATGTATATATGCCTACATGCATACATGGAATACATTGTCGCGTTCGACGAATTGTGTCATTGATGAGTCCTTTGATGCGAGAACAAGCCTATTCTTGATGAACATCGACGGACGACCATAGGATCCGCAAACCCACACCCCTGTGCTGTTATCATCCCGGGCCACCTGCTTACGCCGTCCTCTTTTTCCAACTAGAGCTGCAATGCGCGCCTCCTCAAAGGCGGAAACTGCCGCTTGTGAGCGTGTCTTCCACTGTGAACGCTCGAGCGCAACGACACCCAAGGTTTTAGAATCAAGTCCGACTTTTTTTAGGTTTTCCTTCAGATTATCTTTAAATCTGCGAACTGGACCGCTTGCAAGGCGAACTCCAGAAGCCAGCTGTCCGAAAGACACCTGTTTGGGAATTCTTGTGTCGGCATGCGGATAACGTGTCCCGCCCAACGAAACTGTGCCTGTAACAAAAATGCCTCGATACCAAAGATACCACACATTTCCAATACAGTCGTATTTGGCACCCTATCCTCCCATTTAACGTTAGCGATAACCCGTAGACATCTCATATGAAACTGATCGAGTCTACGTATATGGCGCCTATAAGTAATCCATGTCTCACATCCATACAACATTGTGGTTAACACAACTGTCTTATAGACAGATATTTTAGTAGCCAGCGACACACCCCGTTCCTTCCAGAGTCGTCCACTCAAACCACCAAAAGCAGCACCAGCCTTGGCAATCCTAACCGTAATTTCATCATCGATTGCAGTAGTGTTGGAGAGGTAGCTACCAAGGTTGCAAAATCGACCCACAGCGTTCAACTGCGAGCCACCAATAGTTACGATGGCTTTAGAATCCGACGAAATAGGATAGCTTTGGTGCAGAACCTCTGTTTTCTTCCTGCTCACCGTGAGTCCAAACCTTTCTGCAGTAGTGTGGAAACAGTTGAACAGACCCTGAACTTCACTTTGTGTATGTGCAACCAAAGCGCAGTCATCCGCAAAGAGCAGGTCGCGGACTATTGTGGTTTGTGTTTTTTACTTCGCTTGTAGGCGTCTGATGTTGAAAACGTCTCCATCCATGCGATAGCAGATTGGAATGCCCTCTACACAATGTTGAAAGGCGACTCGAAGCATTAGGGAGAAGTAAATGTTGAACAGCAAGGGAGCCATGACACACCCCTGCTTGGTACCATTCGTCACCTCAAAGTCCGGGGATCGATCACCATTTTCAACTACGGTTGCCCTCATGCCTTCATGGAAGGAGCGAATAATCGACACTAAAATCGGAGGACAACCGATCTTTTTGAGACATTTCCATAACGCTGAACGGTTGACGGAATCGAACGCCTTTGTTAAATCTATGAAGACGAAGAAAAGTTCGCGTTGTTGCTCACGACATTTTTCTTGAAGTTGTCTGGCAGTAAAAATCATATCCATAGTACTACGACCAGCCCGAAAGCCACACTGACCCTCTGGAAGGATACCAACATCATTGACGTACTTGGTTAGGCGGTTGACGATCACGCGGGCCAATATTTTTCCAGGGATCGATAGCAGAGAAATGCCTCTGTGATCATCACAGCATGAACGATTCCCTTTCCGTTTGAATATGTGAATGATAAGGGCATCCTTAAAATCTTGAGGAACCGATTTCCTATCCCACATGTCTTGGAACATTGTCACCATCCTGGTTTTAAGTTCGATGACACAACATTTGAAGAGTTCTGCCGGCAGCCCGTCCAAACCCGGAGCTTTTCCATTCGAAATTTGGGTGATTGCTTTTTCCACTTCAGACAGACTAGGGGGATCATCGAGATCACCTGCAATGCTCCAGTCAGGCAACTCAGCAAGGACTGAGTCATCAAACCGGGATTCTTGATTTAGCACACTGTTGAAGTGTTCAGCCCAACGAGCCAGGATTCCATGGCTATCCTTGATGAGTGTTTGACCATCTTTAGACAGTACCGGGACACTACCGGAGCTGCGGGGAGCAAACACAGTTTTCAGATTTCTGTAAAATGATTTCATGTCCCCGCGGCCGGCCGCTACTTGCAATTCATCAGCTCTGGCAGACCACCAAGATTCCTTCATCTGACGAAGCCTCCTCTGTGCAAAACTGCGTGCTTGCGTGTAGCATGCTTTCTTGACGCAGTTGCTCCTGTCATCTATCCAAGAAAGATGGGTGCTGTGCATGTTGTCCAGCAGCCCACGTGCCTCCGTATCCTGATTGTCGAACCAGTCCCTATGCTTAATACGCTGATATCCAAGCACATTAACCGCAGCTTTCTTCACAATCTGCTTGAAATTTGACCATTTTGTGCTCTCATTTGTTGAAAACTCACCACACAATGCTTCGCGGAACAAATTTCTAGCTGACGGTTCTGTTAGCCGAGTCACATCCAGTTTGGCTTTCCTTACAGTTTTGTGATGCCTTCTGACTGGTTTAACAGTAAGAAACACCGACATCTTGATGAGGCGATGATCTGACCACATTGTTGATGCTCGCACCGCTTTAGTTAGACGAGCGAGACGAAGATCGCGTTGTCCGATAAGTATGTAGTCGATGAGATGCCAGTGTCCTGAACGTGGATGTTTCGCTAGTCTTCTTCCTGTCAGCCTGTTGGAAGACTGTATTTGTTACCACAAGATTGTGCTCTGTACAAAATTCGAGGAGCATGATTCCATTTGAATTTTCCCTACCAACTCCATTTCGTCCAAGCACTTTTGGCTACAAGATGTGGTCTTTACCCACACGGGCGTTAAAATCACCCAAGACAAACAACTGATGGTTGTGTGGTGTTGAACGAACAGCGTCACCGAGCTGCTCATAAAACAAGCTCTTCTCAGAAGTTGCTCCAAGCGTTGGCGCATAGCAGCTGATCAAGGTAGCAGTGTGACCACCCTCCAGGTTGAGCTGCATCCTCATTAGGCGTGGTGAAATACCATAAGGTACCTCATGTACAGATTTCAGGAGTGTGCTACGAATGGCAAAGCCCACTCCACCAGTACGCACCTCACCTGCAGGATGACCTTGGCAAAAGAAAGTGTAACCAGCACCTCTCTCTTCAAACTATGTTGCTGCAGAGATTCTTGTCTCGCTGAGCGCAGCAACATCGATGTCATAACGCGCAAGTTTACGCGCAACAATGGCAGATCGACGTTCGTGACACTTCCCAAGATCCAACATTGTCCGGACGTTCCATGAAGCCAAATTAAAAATTTTTCTTTTCTTTTGACCACATAGTAGGATACCCAGTCAGCCGCGGTAGGCTGACAAGGTCGGCAACATATTGGCTAACTTTTTTTAGGGCAGATTTTTTAGTCCCCTCTCCGGTTGGAGAAAGCAGTGCATTTCTGAATAGGGCTGCTTTGTCACCCTGGCAGGATACGAAAATTGCTGTAGCCATCAGCAACAAACGAGCATCACACCAAGGCCGCCTGTGTGTTGTGTTGTGACTAGACACTGCCAGTAGTACCCTCTACCTGTGCCCGTCGCCACTCGCCGCAGGACTTTGTTTGCACATCCATTCAAGCATCAGACCACCAAGACCACCTTCACACTGGTTGATTTAAGTGGAGCATGTTTGTGCGGCATGCTACACTCTCTCGGTATCAGCAGGCACAACGAGTTGAGACACGCCGAGCAACCAGTGTGGACGCAGAAGTTTGGATGAAACTGCGGTGCAGTTTTATCCTCGTAGCCAACTATCCTGGCTAGATTTTTAACTGGGTTTACTCCCAGGCCTTTCCCAAGCGTGGGTATAGCCGCAAGGCTGCGGAGGTTTGAAATCAGAGTTTTCCTTCTCCTAGATGGTATTTCCTTACGAGCGCCATCCGCCCGGAACCTGGTTTAGGCGCCAGTAACTCGCCTTTGCCCTCTCCTGTTAGTTAGTAGCAGCCCCCGCCACATGCAGGAAGGAGTAGGACTTCGATGGTCGTAGCGCGCACGCTACAAGCCTTTGGTGGCATTTTGTAGAACTGGGGAGTTCAAACCCCAGTTCACCACCGGCAAACCATCGCGTTTAGGGGCCAACATACATGCATACATACATTTATACATACATGCATACAATCATACATACTGCATGCATACATAATACGTACGTACAGTTATTTTGTTGTGATGTAAATTTATGAACCCGATCTCGACAAGCAACAAGGCTAAAAAGTCACGATGCACTTGAAGTAAAAAATTTTCATTAACGCTGATGTCACTGAATAACAGAAAAATAAAAGCTAAAGACTAAGTAGAGAGAAAGAACGGCGAGAGCAGCGGTGAATCATTAAATATTTACGCCTAGCAAAGCGCGAAAGATCAAGTGCACGTCAATATGCATGCCTGCCTCTTTTTAGAATACTCTGCCAACGTTCTGCAACGTTTTTATTACTTGACTTATTAACGTCTGATTTTGTTGAGTGTGTTATATCTAAAATTTTTATAAATGTTGGCTGCAAATGATTTTTGTTTACTTTTTATTTATTTACATTTTTTTAACTAGAGGAAAATTTGTTGTGTTAAGTTAATATGTTATAATTATTTATATAAACTTTATTACTCGTATTATTATTAGCATAACTACTGTTATGAAATTTATTGCACCAGGTTGTATATGTGACGGCCACAGTCCCTTACATCTTCTTGACCATCCTCCTCATCCGAGGCTGCATGCTGCCTGGAGCACTCGATGGAATCATTTTCTTCCTCAAACCTGATTTTAAGAAACTGATGGACCCTAAGGTAAGATTGAATGTTTTAATAACCTCTCTCTCCTCTCTTTCTCTATCTCTCTATCTATCTATTTTCTGTTTGTCTGTCTGTCTGACTGCCTGCCTGTCTGCCTGACTGCCTACCTACCTACCTAAAATTATGTTGAAGAATAGCCGAGCAGACAACACAACAAGATATTTGGCCTGATTTGTAGGTTTATATTCTGTGTGCAGGTCATTTTTTCTTTATAGGCTGCGATGAACATATGTTCATCAGACATCGCTTGAAACTGCATTTAAAATTTTTAACACTACCGATGGCATTGTGGATGATGATGTGCTTGCTAATGTAAACTGGCAACAAATAATTTTTTTAATATCACTGTTCTGCGTTTTTAACAACTTTTATACAACAAATACTACCACGATTTCAAAAAATGGAGTTGCAAGCACCACAATATACCAAGTTTAGTTTCGTAATCTGATCCTTCCGATCCGACGACTTGTTCTACGCTCTCAATAATTAAAATGGAACGAGGTCATTTACAAGCAGAAACTGCAAAACCTGTCTGTGTTCATCGCTGATAATTATTAGTTATTGAAGGGGTTTTTGCTCGTATGCTGAGATGTATTGAGTAAACAATTTTACGTGATGTTTTGCAAAAAACATCTGCAATTAGAAATTGTGGTGTACGACATTTTAAAAGTTTTTCAATGTCCGATATACATATTTTGAAAATAATTGTGACACCCAACAAAATGATGATAACATATGATAAATATATTAATTAGTAATCATATTATAAATTATATTGTTACTAACAAAGCACCGCATGCCCCAGCGTCATTTTAAATTCCACAAGTTCTCACAATGACTCATTCAGAAACAAAAATTTGGAAAACTTTCAATTGCATTTATTTTCGTGAAGGTTTGGGCGGAAGCGTGTCTGCAAATATTTTATTCACTTGGTCCAACGTGGGGTGGGTTGATCGCCATGTCCAGATACAACAAGTTCAACAACAACTGCCTCAAGTTGGTCTTATTTATTCTTGGAATGAATTTTGCTTTTTGTTGTAAGATTATCTTTTTAATTTTACCGTTGAGGTTATTGATGTTGTTGTTGTTGTTATTGTTTCTTCAATGTTTTGCATTAAATAAGTCTTTTTAATAACTTCAACTTTTCGTTTAACTGAACATTTCGATGTCAAGGTGACTTGAGTTAAACGCAGACCGGGGTAGACCGGGATGGGCATTGCCCACCACCCTAGAAAACCGGTTTGCCCACCCTAAAATTTCATGAGAACCTAATGTTTTTTCTAAATAATAAATAATTTTAAAATAAGAGATACGTTTTATCGAAACTACATTTACTTTAAAATTTTGCGTTTATAATTATTTTTTCATAAATTTTTAATTTTTGGAGATTTTTCTTTTTTCGAAAACTTATTTTTATGGTTTGTCAACGCTCTGCGTTTTGTTTTCTGTCTTTTTAAAGTATTTGAAATGGATCGCTTCGTAATAAAAACAAATCGTGAATGCGAAGAGATTTCAACTTCTTGCGAGAGCCAGCCAACCAGGATCATGGATGCGACATAAAAACAAATTTGGCTTTTTTTGCCAGCCGATACCAAAAAAAGCCTGCTGGTGATCTAGCAAAAAAAGTGAGTGAACTATTCAAACAAAGTATTCTCTCTACGTATCCTAAAACTAGTCAAAACAGTTATTTCAGGTCAGAATGGTTTCAACATTTCAGGTGGTTAGAATATTTTCCAGCATCTGACACTGCGTTTCGTAATCTATGTCGTCAATTTGTTTTATTATTTAAAGAGGAGCCGTATAAGAGAAAATGGTTTCAAAACTAGAAAACTGCATCAGATAAATCAAACGCTTGGTTTCACAAACATGCTTCATCTGAAACTCACGTACAGTCTATACAGTCTATGTCAGGGTTGGGCAAACATTACATTTGTGAAACTTTTCACTTTCACCTTCAACGCCTGCCTCCCTGCTTTGTGCTACGTGTGTTTGTTCTGCGGCAACAAGCAGCTTTTGATTGAATGAAGGAATAAAAAATTTAAAAATCAGCGGTGTGATTGTAAGTTATGGCAATAATTTTCAACGAGCTGATAATTAAAATACTGTCAGGTTTTGAGATAACAACAACAACGTTCACGATTGATCACATCAAATAAGCTTTGCTTAAAAGCTTAAAATTAACACACACACATGCACACCACACTCACACGTATACATACAAACACATACGCATATATATATATATAATATTATATTTATAATTTTATAATTTTTATTTATTTTATTTTATAATTTTTGTAGTGATATATCCTAAGTTAAATATACCTACATATAAAAAAATGGATAGGTGTTAAGTTGAATGAACGTCAATATGGCTTATGAATGAAAATATAATGAAACCAAAAAAGAGAAAGAAAACTAAAAGATGTAATAGTAAAAAACTAATAGGGTCTTGATAGATGGATTTTTTTTATTACGGAATCAATCAATCTTTTGATTACGATGCAAAATTTAAAAAAGTTACATAATGATTTAGCAAGTAAAGTACATTTCTGACTGCCTTAAAAACATAGTATTAAATGGCAAGCGGTAGTTGAAAGACGATGAAAAAATGAAAATGCGACCAAATTTAAAGAACGAGAAAATGAAGTATTTTTTTTATTTATCAGACATTATTATTAATTTAACTTTAATAACTCTGACATATAATAAAAAGCATATGTATTGAAGTAATTTACGATGATTAATATTCTGGAAAAAACATGAACTTTGATATATTGCTTAAAAAAACTTCTATAGCAAAAGCTGAAAGTCTCGACAGACGGTTAATGCTATAATATCTTATAGTTAACTGCCGCAATGATAAATGTTAAACGTTTTCAAACCAGCAAAAATATTATTGAGACCATCGCCGAAAATCTGTATCTGGATCCACAATACAAAATCAAATATGAGCAATTGAATCCGCGTATTTGAATAAATAGCACGTAAACGATGAGATATTTTTTGTTATCACGGTAGCGAATAAGCGAATAGAAAAAACTTTAAATTTTATAAAAAAATTACCGTCACTGATTATAAAAAAAAAGTTATAACTTTGTCATGTTTTTCCCATCTCAAATTTTTTGATTGTTATCTAGCTAAAAGTCTGCCATCTTTGTTCTAGCAGGATGTTGGGAAAGTTTCAAGTTGGCAAGCTGGGTGTCTACAAGCAAAGTGCTTATATAGCAGCGCTCTTTCTAACAATGTTACTCAAAATCGTTCTTCCACAGCGTACCGAGTTTTAAACGCCATCTTTTTTTTACAGGTGTTTGATGGTATCACATCACTTGGGCTGATTGCTACTGTTGTCATTGAAAGTTCATTTTTGCACTCTGATTCGTTCTGGCCATGAATTGTTACAGGTAATGGTGTTTAAATATTCTGCATCAATGCACAGCCTGACGTGGTCTGGTCTGACATCATTGCCACTCTTTCTGAAACTGGGTAGCAGGAAATGACTTGAGCACCAATAGTCTTGAAATATTCGGTGGTGTTGCTAGCTGAACATTTAGTCACGTTGCTGAAATGAAAGATTTTCTTGCGAGTTAAACTCTTATTGGCGGGAATAATCAAGTCGTTTGACGATCGCGAGCCGATCCAATGTGATTGTATATAGGAACGTCTATATTTGCATGTTAGTTTTTACGTAGTACGCATAAATATTCAATCAAACAGGTTCAGTTTTTCCACGGTTCCACTTTGAGGCAGTAATGTGTGATTCTGATTGATGATAACGAATTGATAGTTCATTGATGGAGAGAATTTTTGTTAGTTTCAGTGAGCTGATTTAATTTTGTGCTGTTTAAAAAAAATAAAATAAAGTAATTTATTTTTTCCTAAAACGCGAAATTATGTTTTTTTTTATGTGAAGATTCGATTAGGATCAATTGCAATAACACACGCAAATAACCTTACACGTGGTTACCCAGCAAAAATTTGTTATAAAATATTTTAAATTATCAATTTTATTTGTGTTATTATCATTATTATTATTGTTATTTTATTAAAAAATTTGTTAGGCACTTCTTCATAAAATATGTCCTGTACGTCACCCAAAATGGCAGCATGTTTATCTATTTAGCATTTTCAGCATGGTTTCAAGTTTGAGGGGAGTTATAAATCTTTTTTACTTTTCAATTCTCTTAAAATCTTTAGTAACAAACTTTTTTCGATATTCATGTACTATTTTCGGTGTTTAAATTGAAACGTTGTACACGTGGCCAAATGCTCAAGTACTTATATGTGGGTCTCTACGATGTTCTCTGTTTGTTTAAAGTGATGTATTTCTTTGTTGATCTAATTTTACAATATTAACTTTATGTGAATACATTACGATCTTCAATTTTGTGCAATACGACACTTTTACATGGTTCCTCTGTTTCTAAATTTCTTAGTAGAAAGGATTCCAATTGCACGTTGTTGAGTATTTATTATCGGATGTCTTTGTTCTATGAGTATTGATCCGGTTAGAGTAAATTATAATAGTTGTTATTGTAATGTAAGATTTCAACATTGTGGTCCAAGATTTGCCTTGTAATTTTAGTTTTGTGTTTCTCTTTCATGTCATTCTTTATAGCCCCTTTTCATAATTTTTTCATCCTGTTCGAAAGCGGTTGACATGTGGTTCTTATAATATATTACTATGTTATTTTAGTGGTTATTGTTAGCTGCATTGTTGTTGTTGTTGCTGATTTTTTGTTCTATTATTTTCTGGATCATGGAATTTTTATATTCATTATTAATGAGAAGTTTAGTGATTCTATCTTGTTCTGTTCCCCTGCTTCCTACATCAGAAGAGTGCGTCTAAGCTCGGTTTACAAAATCAGTATACACTAAAGCAACAAACAAAGACTTATATCTCAATGGAAATAGAATGTTGCCGAACATATCCTGCGAGCACGATCGCTGCTTTTAAATAAAATTAAATAAGAAGCTAACTAACGCGGAACATGTTGTGATATTTATCAATAGTTGCATGTATATATATATTTATATAATATATATATATATATAATATAAAAATCTTAGCATATATATATATATATATATATGTATATCGATAATGTGTTCCCCATACATACATGATTGTTTGTGTGGGGGTGATTGTTTGTGTGTGTGTGTGTTTGTGTGTGTGTGATTGTTTGCAAGCAAACGAAACATAAGGGAATGTATTTGTTAGCTTTGTCCTGTTTTCATATGCGCTTATTTGTATTTTATGCTTTTGCTTGAGTTTGACTTTGTTTCGATGTTTTTGGAATTTTAATAACTGTTTGCTTGTTTAAATAATAAGTAAAGAATGACTTACTGTGAAGGTAAATATTTATGAAATGTGGTTGGACGACGTTAATGTACTTAAATAAAGATTTGTAAATGAACAAATAAGCTTGGTACGTTAAGTCGATGATAAACACGCATAATAGGCGCAAGTTGTATTAATACAATAACTCGCAAACAACCCTTAACAATTTTTTAAGCAATAATTTGAAAACTGATCATTTGCATTAAGTTGTGTGTTTATATATTATAATTTTTATGCAAAATTTGTGTTCGTCATATGTGTTTTGTTTGGTGACTAGTGTTAACAGTAGCAATGTCATTTGCGTATGCAACACAAACAAAAACAATAGTTAACATTACGTATGTGTTAACGTTAACATGTACGTACATAAGGAATATGCCTTAATGTTAAGACGAACATTCAAATGTTCAAGGCACGCACGCCTACACAACCAAACGCATGCAAGCCGTGAAAGGAATCCGAAATATTAGGTGTTAGTTCACTTCACGATATCCAAGCCGACAGCATTGCATTGCAGCTTCTCTTATGCAGCCAGCCGTCGTTTTTATCGTCGTCGTTATCATTATTTTTATCATCATCGTCACCATAATCATCCTGTCCATCATCATTTTTATGACCCCGTTTGTGTTTTCTTCAACCTCACAGAGATTCAGTGGTCATCTGTCTGGTTTGTTGTGGCACGAGCTTCTACTCCGGCTTCATCTGCTTCTCCATCATCGGCTTCATGGCTCACAACATCGGAACGAACGTGTCTGACGTCATAACTACGGGTTACGTCAATATATTTACTCCAGTGCATAATTTTATGGCATCTATATTATATATTTATTTCTATCTATCTATGTTTTTTTTAATAATTTTGAAGCATCTATCAATCTATCTATCTGTTGCATCTATCCATCTTTACGTCTGCGATAATGTTTCTGTATAGCCCTTTCAATCAATCTACACAACATAATAACGTCAACGCATTACACACAATGCACTCCTTTGCATTGAGCTGTTGTTGTTTATTGAAGTTTGACTAAAGAAATGATTTGCCAGCATTTATTTGGAAACGTTTGTTTAAGAGATTGCTTGGTTGTGATCGTTGTTTAGCCATTTGCTTTTGATAAGTTCGATGTTACTTGTTGAAAGATTTTATGAATCTTTACGATTTTCCGATATGCAAAATGTACATGTACTGTAGTATGCCAGTAAAATTTATTATTTAGTAATTATTTCAATTCTTTTTATTTGTGGTTTTTAATTTTTAGTTAATAATCAGAGTTATTCTCGTGGTCTTTTTGGTATTTGTTTATAATGTGCTTTTATTTGATAATAAATATCATTTTATTATATTTCTGTTTAATCTATTTCTATTTTATCATTTTGTATTGATTTATGTAAATTATTTTTTTGTTTTTACATTTGATCATTCATCCATCCACTCATTCATTCATTCATTCATTCATTCATTCATTCATTCATTCATTCATTCATTCATTCATTCATTCATTCATTCCATTCATTCATTCATTCATTCATTCATTCATTCATTCATTCATTCATTCATTTACTTATTTATTCATTCATTCATTCTTCTAATCATTTCTTTTCTTTATCCTCTTATTCATTCAATCATTTTTTATTCACTTTATTTTATTCATTTCATTCATTCTTCCATTCACTTATGATCGTCGATTAATGAATTTGTTTATCGATTCGTTTTTATTACTATTCAATGGTATGATCATTTCATTAGTTCGACAAACGTTTACATTACAAGCCCATTCATTTTTTTCTCACATTTACATTTATTCTTTTATCCTCTCTCTCCGTCTCTCTCTTTCTCTCTCTTATTCATTTGTCTGAATGTTTCAACTCTCTACCTATCTACAAAAATGAATATGGATGCTTGCATGAATGATTCAGGTCCTGGTTTAGTGTTCAACGTGTATCCAGAAGCAATAGCCCAACTGCCCATCTCTCCTTTCTGGTCCATCTGCTTCTTCATCATGCTCCTCACTCTCGGGCTTGACTCCCTGGCAAGTTTTTTAGTAATTTTTTCTCAACAAAAATTAAAAATGTTTTTAAACTGAGAGCGTGCATTAAATAACAAACTGAATATATCTCATAGAAAACTACAAAAATACATCACATGAAAAAACAGTTTGGCATGATAGAATCTTGCACCAATGGAGTTGTGGATGAATTTCCGAAATTTTTGAAGCCCAGGAAAACCAGATTGACACTGATCGTATGTGTCATGTTTTTTCTGCTGGGCATCCCTTTGTGCTCAGGAGTTAGTCCGCTTTCACTAAGTTTTTAAAAATTAAACATTAAAACTTTTATTGTACAATAACGTTTGCACTTTTCACTATATAACTAGCAGTAATTTGAACGTCGTCAGCAAAAGCGGGGTATTTAAAATCAAACTTTTAGATGATATAAACATATCAGCTGTGTAGAGTAAAAACAACAGAGGTCCCAAAACAAAGCCTTGATGAACCCCATATGAAATTACCTCGACATCAGACAAATTACCGTTGAAGAGAGTCTTTTGTGTTTAACCTAGCAAATACGATTTAAACCACGTCGTAAGCACTCTAGAACCAAAAAAACGACCTTTTAACTTTTCAGTCAGCAAAGACAGTCGAAGGCTGCGCGCACATCCAATAGTGCCGACAGTGAAATGCTCTGAACATCCACGGTTGCAAATAGTTCAGATGTCACATGAATTAGAGCAGTCTCGGTGGAATGATATTGTCTGTATCCATACTGATGAACCGGCAATAAATCAAACTTAACTAAATGTTTTAAAAATTGCTTGGAGATAACACGTTCAATAACTTTTGCAAAAAACAAGTGGTAGAAATTGGACGATAATTAGTAATCTTTGTCAAGGAATGGTTTTTTCAACAACGGAATTATAACGGCATAATTGAATGGCTCAGGGAAACAACCATTGCTCAAACACAAATTAATAAAAAATGTCAGAAACGGGATGAATAAGTCAGCATATAACTTGAAAATTCTTGTTTGAACAAGGTCGTGTGGAAACGATTTTGTAGGCGAACCAAGAATGAATTTTTAGCTTCATCATTTAAGCATAAAGAAAACCTGCAATATTTTTCAAGATCTGATCCACTATGAAAAAATGAATATATATATATATATATATATATATATATATATATATATATATATAGAAAAATATATAGAAAAAGCGAAAAGTTAAATTGGAAGTTAACTAATATATATAGTGATATTGTGTGTGTGTGTGTGTGTGTGTGTGTGTGTGTGTGTGTGTGTGTGTGTGTGTGTGTGTGTGTGTGTGTGTGTGTAATATTGTTTTTATTAGAATTGATCGCTTGTCGTTAATATTGTCTTCAGCATATAATATTGTTTTTATTAGAATTGATCGTTTGTCGTTAATATTGTCTTCAGCATACAAGATTTTTAAAGCTAACTTTTAAATTTTGGGTTTTATAAGATAATTAAAAAAATACAAAATGGAGTCAAAATATTTGAACTTTCATCTCATACTCAGGCAGGCATATACATCTTTCAAATCCTGGATTGGTACGCAGCTGCCTTCACCGCCATGATCATCGCCATATTGGAATGTATTGTTTTAGGGCACATCTACGGTAAGTCAATAAGTTACATCAGTTAATTGAACATTTCACAAACATTTCAGTGAGGAATAAAAAGTTGTTTGATAATCCCATCTAGGAGCAAATAAGTTGTTCGACCACATTACGGAGATGATGAATAGGAGACCGAGCTTGTGGTGGAAGATATGTTGGTGCTACATCACTCCTCTCATAATGCTCGTTTGTATTATTCTCATTTAATTTCTATTCATATTTATGAACCTTTGAGTATAACTTATTTGAACATCCTTCCAACCATGCAGGCATTATTGATTTACAGCTGCGTTCAGATGAAACCTCCAACTTACGGGAGTTACGTGTACCCATCCTGGTCTGTAGCGTTAGGTTGGATTGTTTCCATGTTTTCCATCGTTCCCATCCCAATTTATGCCATCCATCGATTGTCTGCTGAAGAAGGTTCTTTAATGGAGGTGACCATTGTTTATAATTTTATATTTTTGTTGACGGATTGATTATTTGCTCTATCAACACCAACTACCAACTTTTGCGTATATTTTTACGATTTATGATCGTCTTCTTGTTCTCACTTTTTAATTCGTGTTAAACATTCTTTTGCTAAATCTGCATTTGCTTTTTCTGGCCCTTTTCTCTGGAATTCTCTACCTACTTCTCTGACTACTTCTCCATCACTGACGAAGTTCAGAGCGGATCTCAAGACCATCTGTTAGCAAAATTCATTGAGGAGCGCTGTTGAACATCTCGGAAATAGCGCTTTATAAGCTGATTGATTAAATGATTTGAAACAATAGTATTATGAAATATATCAAAACTGCTTAATTCATTATTTCTCATCCCTGGATTCAAAAGTTATATGACCTCTTAAATATTAAAACCAAAATTACTCTGATGTGTGCTCAGCAGTATATTTGTTTTTGCTTTAACGATATAGTTACTTTATAGCCGTCTTTTTTTTATACTGTTGAAATAAAATATGTCTAACAAAATTTTACTACCCAATTAATATTGTATCATAAACAACGAATTTGACATTAAACTAGGGAATTGGTACGTAAACTATTTAGCTCGTTTCTGTCATCAAATTAGAAGTATTGAAATTATTTGTTATTTTATGTTTTAAAAATCTAGAAAATATTATTAGATTTAATTAATAATAATAAATATTAATTTATTAGAAATTTATTTCATAATCTAATTTTTTTATTTGATCTGTCAAACTTAACCTATGGAATTTGGAGATAATTATAGATTTCTAAATTTATGCAAAATGGACTAAAATTAAGTTATTAAATTTCAGTCAAATAACCGAATATCTATATTTATTAGAAAAGGTTTCAAATCATACACGATCTCTTGAATGTTCGTTTACAAAATTGACCTTTCTAAGTGTAGCAGCTTTTTATGGCTTGATTTAATGCCTTATAGACGAAGTTTATTTCTATCATGAACAGAAAGTAATAGGCAAAAATAAAAAATTAATTTTCGGTCTATGAAATTTTGGTTATGTTCATCTTCTTGTTATTCTTATTTTCTATCCTTTACCACGTTTGGTTTCCAGTTCAATCATGTTACTTTTTATATTTTTGGTTTTTAAACTAAAAAATTCGCATACATTTTTTACTCAGTTCATGATTTGTGATTTGTTATTTATAAAAACTCGTTTACCTTAAAATATTCTTAGCTTGCATAGATTTTTTGTAAATGTCTATTCAATAAACTATTTGTCGAATGTTGAAATTTCCAAGAGAGTCAAGCACCTGATACGACCGCATGTCAGCTTCTACAATGGTAAGAACAATCCAGATGCTAAACTCCTTCATCATTTCTAGAAAATAATCCTGTAAATTTCTTCGCCAGCTATTGAAATTATTATTTACTCATATTTATTCCAGTCAGCGCATGACTTATTTTTCAAAACGATCCCATTTTGAGTTTTGATTGCTATACTATCATTTTTATTTATTGTCGACGTCCATTTACGTGGCATTAATTTTGATGGTGATTTTAAGCAGCTCACGAATTTGTTCTGGGAAAAAAATTTTAATTGTTGAACGGTTTCGAAAGTATGTAAAATTTTAAAAACTTTCTATATTTTTGTTATTAAGTGATGAGTTCTTGTTAGAAGTATTATTTTATAAAATATGAAATGTGATTACCAAGTACTGAAATTGTTGCATTCGAAATATTTTTTAAAATTTAAAAAGTTTGAATAATAATCATTTATTTTGTCAGCTCATTAAACGTATATGTTATAATAATGATGACGTTAATGCGCAATCTAAATTCACCATCATTAATCTATTGAATGAAAGGTCGTTCGTCCAACAGCAACTTGCCCCATGGTTCCATCCTCGGTGCATTTCAAATAAATTGCTTTAACAGCAATGAAAAAGAACATTCATTTAATTTTAATGGGACGGGCACGGTACAGGCAGAACGTAATGCATATTAGAGTTCCTACCATTCACATCAACACACATATCAACCAACTTATTAATTTCTATGTAGATCTTAGATCCTCTTTCGTTTAACTGTTCTCACTATGGATACATGGATTATATATATATATATATATATGTATATATATATATATATAAATGTATATATATATATATATATATATTAGGAATGCGACGGTTCCGAATCCGGATTCGGATCCGAATCCAGGGATTCGGAAAAGATTCGGATCCGCGGATCCTAAATTGAGGATTCGGCGTTTTACGGGTCCAAAATCAACTTAAGCGGCGAGAAAATTTTATCGATTGAGGGAAAAAGTGAATCTAAATATCAACATTGATTACGTAATAATCATTTAAAGTTATGAAAACTGATGTTTTTGAGATTCGTTTTGCACCTCTACAAATTTAACATTCAAAACAAAAATTTGATTTTTTGTAAACTTTATAATCCATTATTGCGCATTTTAAAAATAAAAACTTTTTTATTTTAGAAATTCAGCTTCATGCTGTGAAGTTGTGACGATTGGGATGATAATGATTGCGCGATTGAAATATGCCGCCTGTATATTTTGTGAAATTGTGATGATAATGATTGCGTCTTTGAGGCGTGCCGCCTATACATATCTATATATTTTACTAGTCATTCTATGCATGTATATTTTGTTATTTGATATGCTATATATGCGACGCTGCTGTGCTGTATCGTTTTTCTGAGTATAGGAAAAGAGTATAGATAGGAGTATAGAATTTTCTATGATATAGAAAGCGTTATGTAGGTAGGGCGGTAAAAACATATAAAAGGCCGCGAGTTGAGATATAGAGAGGCTGGTCGTTTGTTATCTTAATTTTAGGTTTTGGTCTCTTGCTTGTCAGTTGTATTATTAATAGATTAATTTTGGACTTATCGTTTTGTTTTAATAAGGACAGAGGTTTGATTTGTATTATTTTGTTTGTTATTTTATTTCTTTTATTGAATAAAAGAAGTGTACACTTGAAGTTTGGCTCGACTTAATTATTCTACCTAAAATAATGGATGTTGAAGAAGACTTGTTGATAGTTGACGAGGTCGGCGTCTCTAGTCAACAAGCAGGGCGCGAACAAACTTCCGCCCGGCCCGTGTTTTCAGACCCTGAGAGGGTCTATTGTAGAGTGGCGGATCCCGGCCAGGAAAGACTCCGCCGAAGCGAAGGCTCGGGTGGATATTCGTATGCGGACGCGGTTCGGGACCGCGTGGTGCGGAATTCGAATGTCGCCCGGCGAAAATCTACAATGCTATGCTTTATCATGGATTAATTAAACACCTATATGAAGTATCTTTGGATTTCGATCCGCCATTTAGAATTCGTTTGAGGTGTGCGCACATTTGTAGGTAATTTATTAACTTGACGTAACGTGAACGTAAAGGATGGATTCCAAACAAAAAAAAAGTTTGGTTTGGGAATATTTTTCAGTATTGGAAAATGGTACAAAAGTTAGATGCAATACCTGTGCTATAACTTTATCACGCGGCGCAAAAGATGTAAATGACTGTGGTACATCATCTATGCGTAAACATCTTCGTACCAAGCATTTTGAAAAATTTCGAAATCTTCAGCAAAAGGAGAGTGAAAAAGTGACAACAACAAAGCCTTCAACTTTTACTGATGGACAAACTCAGCTTCGCCAAGAAGGAATAGTTGCAGGTTTTCAAAGGTCTGATAAGTGGAGTGCAGATAATCCACAGTCTAAGGCCATAACTACTGCGCTAATTAGAATGATTGCAATAGACATGCAACCTTTGAGTATAGTGTAAGACGAAGGTTTTAATCATTTTTGTTCAATTGCTATTCCGAAGTATGTTCTCCCATGTCGACGGTATATAACAGAAAAGATGTTACCAAAATTAAAAGTATTTCAATTTCAACAAAATTTTATAATTTATTTTTTTTAAATTATATCCTGTATATAAAATTTTTAAATTCTAATTTAAGCCAAATAATTTTTTTTAAATGACGTTATGTTATTTGTTATTAGAATGTACTTATCTGAACTTCAACTTGCAATTTCTAACAGGAGTCCATTACCGAAGAAATCAAACGACAGATGAATGATGCAGAGGATGTAGTTCTTTCGATGGACATCTGGACATCAAAGTCAACAGAATCCTACTTTGGGATAACTGCACATTGGTTAACCACATCATACGAAAGGAAAATGTTTGTCTTGAATGTTGCACCAATGCACTCAAGACATACAGCCATTAAAATTTTACAGATTTTTTATGTTGTTCTTGAGCAATGGTGTTTACCCATGCAGAAAATTTTTTTAGTTGTTCGTGATGGTGGCACCAACATGGTCAAGGCAATGAAAGATGCTGATCTACCTAGTATAACATGTTTTGCACATGGTCTTCATCCAATTGTGCAAGAAGGTCTGTTTGCTCAAAAGTCAATATCAGATATGATAACACATTCAAAAAAGCTTGTGGGCCATTTCAAACATTCGCCTTCAGCAAAGAGTAGATTAAAAGAATTACAAAAAGATCTCCAGTTACCTCAACATTGTATTATTCAAGAAGAGCCAACCAGATGGAATACGTGTCTTTCCATGCTGGAACGCCTGCAAGAACAAAAAAGAGCAATAATTGAATATGGCGGTGAGAATGATTTACCGGTGTCATTAACACCAACTGAATGGCAATTAATGGAAAAATGCATCACTGTCCTCTCACCATTTGCTGAAGCTACTAATGCGATAAGCGGTGAAAGTGTTTCAATTTCAATGGTCATTCCGATTATAAAATTGATAGAAACCAAACTACAAGAAAATACATGTGAGGCTGGTGTCCTAACATTAAAAGCAGTTTTATTGGATGAGATGCGAAAAAGATTTAATAATTTTGGTGAAAATAAATTATATGCACTGGCAACAATGTTAGACCCGCGATTTAAGGACAAATTTTTCCTGAAAGAAATTCATAAAGTCACTGCGACAGATAATCTTATTCAAGAATATATGCAACTTGAAACTGATGCTGTTGGGCCTACTGAAATTGAGCAACCAGCAAAAAAAATAAAATTAATGCCAGATGATGGAAGCATGTGGTCATCCTATAATGTTATTGCTGGTCAATCACACAATTCACAAAATGAAAAAATGGATGGACCAAGGACAACAATTGAAAAATATTTGAAAGAAGCTTTAATTTCCCATGATAAAGATCCATTAATATTTTGGAACCACTGCCGCAATCAGTATCCTCTGTTATCAAAAATAGCCAAAAAATACTTAACGCCACCACCTTGCACTGTGTGCATAGAAAGAATATTCAAGGTCTCATCGGGGATTACAAAAGGTCGCCATCGGTTGTTAATGGATAATGTTGAAATGTTAATATTTTTGAAAGTTAATTTGCCTAGAATAAAACTATCTGATTGATTAGTGAATAATGTAATATTAAACTTCCACTTTATTGATTGTGAAAATTTTTATTTTAATAAATTATAATGAATAATGCTATTTGTTACTGTGTTTAATATAACTAATATTACAATTAACTTGATACAAATACGAATAAAAAATATTTCTTTGGTTCGTCAGAGAAACGGCTTATTTAGTTTTATGACCACATACAACATGGATCCGGATCCGTCCGGATCCATCGTCGAGATCCGGATCCACGGATCCCAAAATCTTGGATCCGTCCCATTTCTAATATATATATATATATATATTATATATATATACTCTTGTCAGCACAACGGTTGGAAACACAGATGCATTTGACATCGGCGTTGGACCAGAAATTTTATTCTTCAAAAGGCTTCGTGAAAAATGGACAGAAATGAATCACACACCAGAAGCCAGATCAACCCCTTTGATAATTGTTTCAGATGCAATTAAAGCATTCATCAAATGTCAACTTGAGGTCAGACATTCTCGAGATGACTATTTAGAGTTTCTACTTCTTGCTGCACAAATAGCTGAACTGCAGGTTGATGTAGCCATTCGCAAACCTGGTGCACGGCACAGGGCACGATGGATGGCAAAAGCCAGCTACGCATTAAAAATTGAACTAATATTCACCGTAAATAAAACCATTTTTAACTTAAACAGCTCGAGAATTACAAGGTATTCAACGTTTGAATCGGTTTATCATTTGTGTTTATCTTCAGTCATGGTTTTCATGCAGGCTCACTGCTGATGCACCTGTGAATGATATTTTGTTGATACAGCGTTTGCATGACTATGACGATGCAGTTCTTGGTTTGACGATTAAAATGATGCTGCGTCATTTTTGGTACATGAGTCCAGAATTGGCAACTCTTGTTCTTTTTTCATCTCTCCTGTATGACAGAGAAAAGACTGATCTTGTCCGCACAATACAAGCAGATCGAGGCCCACATCTGATGAAAACACTACCACAAAGTTTTGACAATTTGCGTGCGTCTAAAACATTTTTTGAAACATCTAATATTGATGCCAGTTTTCTTGATGTACTTGTTGAAAACTGGTCAGATACTCCTTCTTTCCAAGTTGCAGCAGTGTTTGTAAAGAATCTGGTTTGCATCAATGACTGCAGAACGGGGAGTAGCGTTGGTACAACATTTCAATGAAACAATCACCAAAGACGCAGAGCAGAAACAATTTTTGCTTCAAGTAGTTGAACAGCATAGGAAAAACTTTGCAGAATATAATCGTGAACTGCTAGCAAAAATTTGAATTATTTGCATTAATCAATATTCAAGCGAACTGAAATTCAATAAAATCTTGTTTTTCAATCATTTTTGACCTAATTTTTGAAATTAAAAAATAAAAGGCATTGCAGATTTATATATTTATATATTTTGTTTCATTTGTATAAACAAATCATAAAACATTTATAATTATATCATAACACTGTATCAAAAGTTGGTAGCGAACGATCAAACACCAAAATCGGAAACTTTCGACCCCTTGGGGGACCTCTAAACATTGTCCAAATGGGCTAAAATTTAGCAGGTAAATTACTGTTACCATACAGACATAGTTGATGGGGTGAGACATCAATATTTTAAAACTTCATATTTTTGGCACACCCTAATATATATATATATATATAAGGTCTCTTGCTGTATATACTGTGTATTTATTTATTTATTTATCAAATTACTCGTTGATTGTATATAGGTAGGGATGGATGGAATCTTGCCGTGGAAAATAGCATAAAATTTCAAAATATTTATACTGCTGAATTTTCATCATCAAACAGTTTTGTTTACGCTGCAATGAATAATTGAAATCAAATTGAATAAATTTTCAAATTTTTTTGTTTCCGCCTGCAGTTAAATTGCCCAGCCAATGCACTAATTCACTCACTGCACTGAAAACAGCATTTTCATTTCGGGGGCTCATTTAATAATTTTCACATTTCCAATATGTAGATAATATACAATTTACACAACCTCATATCTTTTATACTACCATAAGATTTTTAAATAATAAAAAGATATGTATATATTTATATATAGTCGGACATATAACGAATTCTTTTAACTCTTATTTTTATATTATATTATTTTTTTCATATTATATTATATTTCTTTATAACGGTTAAAAAAAATATCCAACCGACAAACATTCTATCGATTGATATGAACGGTGTTTTTGTACTCCATTAATTTCATAGAGTAATTATTACTATGCCCTAAGACGTTTGGCAAAACTCGGAGATAATTTTGTAGAACCATATTTGTTGTTTCTTATTCTAGTATTTAAGTAATTTTTGCGTATTCTACCTCAATTAATTTCAATGGAATCGGAATCATCGTTGCATGAAATAAAAAAATTATATTTTTTACAATTAAACTACATATTATTATATTTTCTTATCAAATTAAACAATTAGGAGGTTATTTTCCATAAATATATAGCATATAAACAACTTTTAGGCAATGTAGAATTTTTTTCCCTAACAATTTCTATATAATGAAATTTCTATTTGACGAATTTTTTTTGGAACCATCAAATTTATTATACGGAGGTCCGACTGTGTATGTATGTATATATATATATATATATATATATATATATATATATATTTGTGTGTGTGTGTGCGTGTCCATATTTGTTATCTGTGTATATGTGTTATCATATTTTACATATCTTTTAATTTTATTAACGAATCATCGAATGCTGAAGGTCAATGAATTTATTCAGAATGGTGTGCCTCCAACAAACAATGTTATTTATATATTTTTATTTAGCTTTGGATTTGACTGCACGCCGCTGTTTATCTTTAAAAAAATAAAATAGTTTAAAATTCATATGTTATCTCACGCGTTTAATTTTTTTTATAAACAATATATATATATATATATCTGTGTGTATGTGTGTGTGTTCAGATTCGCATATACATGTATATACACGTATATATATATATATATATATATATATATATATATATATATATATATATATATATATATATATGCGAATATCTTTTTAAAACATGGACTCAGGTAAAGGTGTTTTGTTTTATTTTTATTTAAACACTTTTTTGGTTTTTGGCTATATATTCAGAATACATGCGTAAACAATCATGTATAATAATAGGTGCCTAATGTATATATATACTTGGTTGGAATTCAAATAGATCTCCATTAGT